GTTAGCCACCAGAGGGCATGCAGCAGGAGGGAGAAAGGCTCCTGATATCTTCGGACAACGAAGCCAAGCCAAGAGAGAGAAAGTTTTAAAAGTTTCTACAACTTTTTCAACATTTTTATAATTTTTACATTTAACTTGCACCATTCTTGAACCAGATTCTTGAACAGGTAAAACTAAAAGAACTTCACTATAGTCAAAATTATGATAAGAATTCATAAACTCTTAGATTTTTAAGTCTTTGAAAGCAATTGTCTTAGACTAGTTGAGTCTATCTTTTGAATTTTATATGACATTCTTTAAGTATATCATTGATGTTATAGAAGTGCACATTTGCACTATCAGGTACATGTACTTTGTATTCTAGGTAGCAGAAAGGGCCATCCACACCCTTAAACAGTTGGAACAGTCCGAGAGTGCCACATGGTCCTGGCAGCTGGAAGAGGCCAAATTGTACTGGTGTAGGGGGGAGCAGGGTGCCGCCATCCACATCCTGAAGGCTCTGATCAGGAGACTGGAGGTTAATTTTATTTTTTATTTCTACTTAGTGGTCGCCACGTAACACGGCCGTTAGGCCACTTCAAGGTTGGTTAACCACCTGAATGGTATCACCTGAATGGTATTACCACCTGAATGGTATTACCACTCACCTAAGTTACGGGTTACCGAGTAGAACTGTAACAAACTGTAATTGTTTTATTATCGAGAAGTCAAAACCCTTCGCAGCCTCACAGCTGAATTATGAGGTTTTTACATAAAAGTTGCAAGCATGGTACACTCACTAATAACTGATTATTAACATCCAGAAATGACTTAAATTGAAATAACTGCCTACTGCATTTTAAGATCATGATACATGTAATGGATTGCGCAATATGTTGTACATGTTTAAAACATTTGTCATCTATGTATAATCTTTAGGTGGAACAGATCTCTGATGACTGCACAGCAACTGAGTTGTTCCCACAAGCCTTAGGGCTGAACGGCCACTGGCTGGCGGTCACACAGACAGAGAGTCCGTACAACATCTGTGAGGACTATCTGGCAAAGGTAGATATGTTCTAACATGTTTTAATGTGTTCGCCAATAGTCCTATTGGAGAAAGCATCTAGTAATATGTACATTGTTAAAGAGATGAGTTTTCAGGACTCTTCCAGCTGCAAAAGGGTTGCCTCCTAGTTGTGTCAAGCTTCTAAGTTTGTGGTCCAATGTTGCACTTGTTGAGAAGAGCCCTATATGATGAAATGGCCACAAGAAGGCTATGGGACTGAGCGAAGTTGAATGCAAAATACTTGTCACTTGAGCTTTAGACTGAACAACTGCAGACTTAGCTATGGAAGCTGCAAACCTAACCCTTGTCCTGCTGTGCGCAACATATGTCGCGCGGCACATACAGTACCATCTATATAGCACCCTGTATAGGTACGATTTGGGGGTATTTCTCGTGCAACGCTTCACACCGCAACGAAACGCAACGAATGCGGAAGTAACTATGCCACTTAGGGGCAAAAAAAATTTGGGGGTTTATGATCTTATTAAGACATGAAATTATTAAAAAATATTGTGCCAGGAATGCCGGCAGGACAAGGGCTAATAGCCAGAAAAAAATGTACAGTATACACTAACTTGTACTGTTTGCTAACTTCAAGATTGAGGCAAGATATATTTTCCAACTACACTATAGCTTGTACCTCATTAACCCTTTCACCTTGAAATTCTCTAGGCAGCAGACTTGATGTCCAGGCAGGAACAGCAGACCCCGGCAGCACTAGAAGCCTACCTGGCCCTCGCCCGGTTCACTGACCAGCAGTACCAAGTCATCGTCAACTACATGAAGTCCAGCACTTACGAGGCCAAGAAGGAGATGATCGAAAGAAGCAAAGCAGAAGTGGAGAAACTCACACAGACAGGGCTGGTGGCATCTGCAGCCAGGTATAAAGGGCCAAACCAATTTAGTCTGTTCGTAGATTTTATGAATTAATGAAAGATATGAAAACAGAGTCTCTTCATGTACATTTGTACAGTTCCAGCTCTCAGATACAAGCTTTTCTCCCTATGCTTTCATCTCGTGATCCTGCTGAATGCTTGTTGTGCAGTTTTATACATCAATTATGTTATGTTATGATTCATCCTTGTTTAGTTATAGAGTTCAGGCTTGTTCCAACACAAAGAAATAGCTTACCATAAATTTTCGGCTGAACCCGTCAAACTTCATCAGATGTGTAATGCAATCACTGACTTGGAAGTTGGAAGCGTGATGACGTCATTTGTCCATGTTGTTCTGTTTTCCAGATATTTCAAGATCATGAAGAGACACATGGTGGAGGGCAGGGATGAACTGGAGGGGTTAAATGAGGACAGGGATGCCTTCCTACACAAAGCCATGGAAAATTACATCAGGTGGGACATATATATGGTGCAACACAAATCCATAAATTATAGGCAATAAAAAAGCAAACATGCCTGTCCTTGGTGCTGAACACAACACATGCAAACATACATTTTACACACACAGGCAAACATGTCTGTCCTTGGTGCTGAACACCATGCGCACACATGACACATAGAGTTAAACATGCACATGCCTGTCCTTGGTGCTGAACACCACACACACACACACAAACACACACACACACACACAAAGGTGAACATGCCTGTCCTTGGTGCTGAACACCATCCACACATGTACACACACACACACACACAGGTGAACATGCCTGTCCTTGGTGCTGAATGCCATCCACACACAGGAAAAACACCATCCAAACATGTCTTTTCTTGATTCTGAACATCATCTCTCATTTCCCATGTCTGCTGTAGATGTCTGAAGGCAGGAGATGAGCATGACTTGCGAGTCTTCAGGCTGTGCTCCCTGTGGTTCAGAAACTCTCACAACCCTGACATCAACCAGCTCGCAAAGGTCAGTACTTTACAACTTGTACTTTATCAAGGTCTGGCCCATATGAACAAAGTAAATATGGTCCGACTTTTCAGTGGTTCCTTAGATAATTTTTACCATTGACATAAGCATAAAGAATCCTGTCTGTAGCAACTACCTGTCCATATAGACCAATGGTCTTCTTTGGCAATTTTGACTAATAGTATAAAGCACCTTAGAAAGAAGAAAAGGAATAAAGCCCAATCTGCTTAGTGACATGTACACAGAACAATTGGCTCTGGCAGAAGAAACTAAATACTAAGTTTTCAGATACTTTTCCTATGATTTTAAGCTCATAGTTTTGTCAGTGTTTGGTTTTTGTCTTCAAGTTGACAACTAACTGTGTCAAATTTTATCAATTCCAGGAGTATTTTCCTCAGGTTGAGTCGAGGAAGTTCCTACCCCTGATCTACCAGTTGGCTGCTCGCATGGGAACCAAGTCTCAGGTCTCACCGGAGTTCCAGAATACACTGTTACAGGTGGGAGTCAACTGATGCTCTATTTTAGATCACAAACACTCTATACAGGTATACAGTGAATAGCAGCTTTAAACAGCGTAGCAACTTCTGACAGCAGTCCAAAATAGGACAAAGTCTGCGTTGTCCCCCCGACAGCCAATGTTGGTTGTGGGACTGGGTAGGTAGGTAGCAATAAATGCTTTTTATCGTTATTGGTATATTCCACTTTTTGTGGAAAGAGCCCTGCATATCTAAAGAACAAGGAAATTGCTATTGTAGCAACTGGATACATTTTGAAAACTGTGTGACTGTAAGTAGCATCCAATACTTTCCAACAATTTGAAAATGTATCCATTTCCCTTGTGTATCTCATTACCTGGATGTCTAACCTGCATCGATGATAATGATTTTGATGATTCCCCCCTTCCCCAGTTGATAGAGCGGGTTGCCACAGACCACCCTTACCACTCCCTGTACGTCGTCCTGGCACTGGCCAACGCTGACCTGGACGGGAAGTTCATAGGTCAGGGGAGAAAGGTCACCAAGCTGTCCCGCAGTCAGCACAGCCAGAACTCAGATGTGGATGGAGAGGAGGTTAGTGTCCTGTTTTGTTTTCTATTTTACTTTCCATATACACTGTAGTAATGAACAAAAATAACCTGTGACTACTCTAGTCTTAATTCAGACTCTTGTTGGGTTTGACTTCTTTTTCTATAATAACAAAACATGGAAGATCCTGCTTTTTCTGCAATATGTTGGCTCTGTGATGAGAGACAATAAGTTTCTTTTTTGTCTGTAAACATGGAAAAATTAGAATGGAATTTGGTGCCATCTTTAAAAACGTTTCTGCTCTCTCATAATCTCACAGCTTTTTCAAGAAACCACATGCAATTCAACTTATGGCTGCCCTGTGGGATTTGCTGTTGTAGGAATTGAATCAAATAAACCATTAATTTTATCATTATTTATAATAATTACGATGTCTCAAATACCTACTCCCCAGGCACGTACGTCTGTAGCTGTGCAGATACTGGAGAAGGTGGGACTACAGAAGGGCAGACTGGTACAGGACATGCAGGCTTTGTGTGAGGCCTACATACAGCTCAGTAACCTGGACGGGAAGGCATGGAGAACAGAGAACGAGAGGCTCAAGAGTAAGACATGCTTTTTGTCTGTCAGTTAAACATTAATCATTGAATGGTTGAGTGGCTAGGCTAGTGGACACAAGATGGAGTGGTCACAGGTTTGATCCCTGGCATTCCTGGCTAGACATTGTGTCCTTAGAATGGCACTTAACCTCACCCCACCCAGGCATAAGATGGGTACAAGGTTTTGGTTGGGGACGTAAAAGGCAGTGCAAGGAGAGGGATGGGATGACAGACACCCAGATTAAAGGGCACATTGACACAGATGTACTTTGTACTAGGCAGTGTGGTAGCATTACACCCCTACATGTATTCTACGACACCCCTATTTTCCGACAACTCAACCTATGTTCCAACCACAATAACACTTTGTCAGCACTGAGGGGTGTTGGAATATAGTGGCATTGGAACATAGGGGTGTAACAGTATGGTATCGTTTGGCAGTACATTCTAGATAACTGTCTGAACTGTTTTGGTTCTGTTTGCCCCTGTGCAGGACCCAACAAGCTGACCAGTCGTGAGTCCATGCTGATGAAAGTGAAGAACCTGACAACAGTTGCAGTGCCAACCATTGACATGAAGGTAAAAAACTTTGCCATTTTCTGTCACAGTTGTAACAATAACGGTACAAATTTATATTCCTTGTAACCTTCCACAAATCAACTTTACCTAATCAGACAGTCTTCTATATTTCCACTATTACTAGGAAGCAAGAGGAAGTCGAATGTACTAGTAAGAGTATATTACTAATAGTTTATATACTAGTACACTTTTATGTATATGAGTGTCAACAAGTGACCTGTACTTGGCCTAGTGGGGCAAAAATATACAGTAAAGGTATATTTTTTTAAATTCAATTTAAATTCATTCATTCAATGACTGTAGTTCTTGTCATATATCTAATATTAGTAACACTTACTATAAATCTTACAAAAAAATAGGATATTGTAAACATATAGATGTGAATTGGTGTGTTTTAAGTTTAAACCTGTGATTTTTTTATAGGTGGACCCAACCTGTTGCTATGATGACATTGTGTACATCCGTGAGTTTGACCCCAGTGTGACCTTCCCTGGCGGCATCAACCTTCCCAAGGTCATCACGTGTCAGGGGTCGGACGGGGTCTGGAGGAAACAGCTGGTCAAGGTCAGGAGTCAGAATTTTAGAATGTTGAAGAAAGATTTGTTGAACATAAATCACCAACATTACAGGGTCCATTGTTTAGCAATATTGAACCATAAGGTATAGGATTGGAATTCGAATCCCAGTCAAACAGTCACAATTATAAACAGTACTTTAATTTGTTTTTTCTTGCCTCATTCAAAATAATTTTTTTGTGTTAAGAAAGGGTATATTCCAAAGACATAGTCCAACAGTCCAACAGTATATCCCAAAATAGTCCAACAGCTGGCAAAATCAGCCCAATTGTAAACTTCTGTCAAAAATCACCAAATTTTGCACGTAAAATGGATTTGTGGTAAGCTTTTACTCATGGAAGAGACAACTAAATTTTTGGGCTCCATAAAAGCTTCCTTTAAAACTGCAGTTTTAAGTTTTTTTTTAACCCCACCCCTGCAGGGTCGAGATGACCTTCGCCAGGACGTGGTGATGCAGCAGGTGTTCACTTCTCCTAGTGGTTTTCCCTGGAACTGCAGGGGTTTGTTTATGAAATGCTTTTTCCACCCCCCAGGGCCGAGATGACCTGCGTCAGGACGCGGTGATGCAGCAGGTGTTCGGGTCCCCTATCAAACTTCCCTGGTACTGCAGCAGTTTGTTTATTTATTTTTTATGTTTCACAGGGGCGAGATGATCTGCGCCAGGACGCGGTGATGCAGCAGGTGTTTGGGCTGGTCGACTCCCTGCTGAAGAAAGATGAGGAGAGCAGGAGGAGGAACCTCAGCATCAGGACCTACAAGGTGGCGATCTCAGTCTTTCAGTCCAACAAGAGGAAAATGTAACTTACTGGTACATTCTTTAGGCCACAATTTCGTACAGTGCTGTTCCTGTGTTTGAGGAGAGCCACTCCACAACACTCAAACAAACCTCTGACTTAAGAAAGAAATGTCTGTCTTCAGGTTGTAAGAAGAGCCACATCTCAAGTATGATTGTCAGAAATAGTATGCTTTTAGACAAGAGAGAAGGATATTTCACCCTCTCTTGCTTGGGGGATATTTCCCAGTTACTCAAAAATATTACTTGCAGAGCTTTTACTTACTGACTTTATGAACAAATTTGTGTGCATTGCTGTGTTAATGCATATGAGATAAAGGCACAAATTAAGAAACATCGATATTTGTCCATTTTCCGTACACACAGGTTATCCCAATGTCCAAGCAGAGTGGGCTGGTACAGTGGTGTGAGGGAACCATGTCCATAGGAGACTATCTCATCGGCAACACCAGGAAACCTGGGGCACACGTACGGTACTACCCCAGGGACTGGGACCCGGGGACCTGCAGGAAGAAAATACATGTAAGATCAGCATTACAATCATGGTTCTGTCATGTAAACAACATTTTTGTAAAGTTAAACTTTGATCTTACACAAAAGAGAAGTTACCATACATTTTTGGTCACACCTTCATCTTATCAAATTTATGGTGAGCTCGATTTTGTGTTGGATCAAAGTTACATGTAGATGTAGATGTAACAAGACTTAGTCATTTGGTGTAAGCTTAAGGTAGCCAGCTGCCACCTCACCATTTGCCTGCAAAGCTTGTGTGTTACACCAAAGAGCTGTAGTTATACCATCTATACAGATAAAAGATTTTATCTTTTTTGCTATAATAACCTATTCTAGGTTTTGATAGACTTTATGAATTCTGAGAAATGAGCTAAATGTAAAGTTTAACTTAGTTAGTTAGGTTATCTCACTTAACTCAGTCACTACTGTTTTCTGTACAGGAGAAGGGCGGTTCGCGGCCAGATGAGCGGTTACGTGCGTATCGGGAGGTCTGCAGACATTTCCACCCGGTGATGCAGCACTTCTTCATGGAGAAGTGGCCTGACTCCATGGACTGGTTCGAGAGGAGGCTCAGCTACACAAGGAGTGTCGCTACTTCATCCATCGGTAATGTTGCTAGTATTATACAATTCATATAATGTACATGTTGTATGTGATTGTATATATCAGATAAGCTGCTACACCAGGAGTGTTGCCTATTTTTGCTAGGCTGGAATGTTGGCAGCATTGTCCATTGGTAGTGTAGCTATTGTTATACAATCATGCTGTATATATAGAATACAACATGGGGTATTCCGTATCGCCCGAGGTACCAGCCCGACCGCGCGTCGGATCGCCCGAAGGCCGGAGGGAGATCCGATCCGCGGGAGGGCTGGGACCGAGGGTGATGAGGAATACACCGTGTTGTATTTTATTTATGTCATACCCACCCAAGAAAACACGCCTTTTAATGCGAAATAGGCGAAAATTTGGTGTCCCTAAACCCAAAAAAACGCAACAGCATCAATTCCAACGTCCGAATTTTGTGTTCGAATTTTCGAAAGCGGTTCACGCGGTTAGGGCGAAACGCGTTCAAATCATCCTATGGAACATTTGGAAGGCCCGGGCCGTACGCGTTAAGAACCCCCGGGCCGTATCGCTAGTTATCACACGGGCCGGAACACCCGTATCGAACGTAATCGCGGCCCAGGTAGGACATAAATGGTTGTATACGTGTATATCCCATAAGCAGCTACACCAGAAGTGTCACAACATCATCCATTGGTAGTGTAGCTCTTCTTGCTAGGCTGGAATGTTTGCAATGTTATCCATTGGTGGTGTGGCTATTGTTATATACGATGTATGGATTTTTTTTTTGTGTGTATGTGTGTGTGCATCTGTTTGTGTCTGTGTGTGAGTGTGTGTGTGTGTGTGTGTGTGTGTCTGCCTTGTCTACATGTGTCTGTCAGTTTCTGTTATGAAGAATTTACATACTGAAGACTGTTATTCTGTTGTATTCCCACAGTTGGTTACGTGCTGGGCCTGGGAGACAGACACTGTCAGAACATCCTCATTGACACCAACACAGCTGAACTGGTCCACATTGACTTAGGTACTGTCTTATTTTTATTTGTTATAATTATAATAATATATTATGATAATTAAAATATGTGTGCTGGAACTTTCTCACTTATATTCTAAAGTGTTAGTATGATTCTTAGTTTCTTCCTTTGTCTGATGTTTATATAGCGTTACATGTAGTAGAGGGAATTCATTCCTCAAGCTGACATCTCGCACACGCAGCCGTCCCTCTGTAAGACATCTGGGCCCACATAGTTCCCATTTAGAACTTTTTTAGCCTGCTTCATTTATGCCTGATGTTTATTAAGGTTTCAATGTTTACTGTATGTTACTGTAGGGATTGCATTTGAGCAGGGAAAGCTGCTGCCCACCCCTGAGACGGTTCCGTTCCGACTGACCAGGGACATCGTACACGGCATGGGGGTGACTGGGGTGGAGGGGGTCTTCAGGAGGTAAAACCTTTTCATTGTTTATATCCCTCTAAAACTGTTATGCCAGGCCAAAGGGCTGTTATACCGACTGGAAGCTGGTGTGTTACACTGAAGAGCAGTTATACCGGCTGTACAGATACAAGTGTGTACAGAAGCTGGACAGGCGTGTTACGATGAATGGCAGTTATACTGGCTATACAGGTACAAAAAAACTTGCATGTCATTTCCATTTCAGATGTTGTGAGAAAACTATGGACGTGATGAGAAGTTCCCATGAGGCTCTGTTGACCATCGTGGAGGTGTGTAATTTAGTTCAGTAATCAGATATTTGTGTAAGTTGCTGTAATTGTACAATATTCAGCATATTCCTGAGTCAGAAAACTGATAAAACCTGTTGTAATAATTACTTCTTTACAATTTTGAAGTTAGCTATAGAATTTCAGATTCAAGTTCTGAAGGGAGGCTGCTCAGGCAGTAAGGTGTAGATTCTCTCTCTCTCTCTCTCTCTGAGTAGTAAATCATTCCTGTGCAGGTTCTGTTGTCATTGACTGATTGACCCCCAGGTCCTGCTGTACGACCCCCTCCATGCCTGGACCCTGACGCCCATGCAAGCCCTGAAGCTGCAGCAGGTAGATGCTGACACCACCGGCGCCGCTGAGATCTTTGAGAACGACTCGGGGCCGAGTAATGGGAACAAAGACATGAGCCAGAGGAACAAGGTGGCAGCACAGGTCGGTAGCTTCCAGTGCTTCTGGACCAGGGGATTAGGGGTTCAAATCCTGGCAGATTGATTTAGTAAGCATTCTAAAGAAAAGTGTAATGGAGGCAACCAATGAATTGTCAAGTTATTTATTTATTGTCATTGTCATTTATTCCCTTCTTTCCACAAGAAAGGGACATTTGCAAACTACTTCATGTATGTGAAGAAAAGAGTTCTGGAGGAACAAACTTCACATTATTGTATTGTGAATTTCTGTTAAGACTTTAAACTGTATTGTATTATGTATCCTCAAGGCTCTGGGAGGTGGCTGGAAAGAATAGAAATTGGCCAAGAAATCTCTGGCCAATTTCTATCATTCTTTCCAGCTGCCTCCCTAAGCCTGGTAGAGGCTACTGCCATTGTGGTGAAATTGACTCTTGAATGTTTTTCACTTGTTTTTCATTTTTATCTTCCCTCTGCAGGTTTTGATGAGACTAGAGGACAAACTGAAGGGTTTGGAGGAAGGGATGGTCCTGAGTGTGAGCGGACAAGTCAACATGCTGATCCAAACAGCACGAGACCCCTCCAACCTCAGCAGACTGTACTCAGGCTGGCAGGCTTATCTATAAGAGCTATCCCTAGGATATTGCCTGACCAAGCACAGTAGGGGCATCCTCAGTACATGTAGATAGCTTTAAACAATGCCTCCAGCTAGATGTGAAGAGGTTAGATGTGATATACAGGCCATTCAGAGTAATATGACCTGCAGCTACTGACATGCTGTGTGCCTGCAAAGTACACTGTACTTGGAGAAAGACATGTCCTCTCACTCACTGTCACACGCATTGACTATCTGGTTTATCGTCTGTTGTTCCCTGACTTCCGAGGGTTAGACATGCTTGCACAGCAACACTGCAGCTTGATGGCAGCCTGCCACTTGCCTCTTTCCTGTGGGTTGATGTTATGTAGGTTCAAGTGCAATTCTAAATAACAATTCAGCAAAGTGAAGAAACATTAAGCCGCAACTGCCATCCTAGTTAGCATAAATCTTGAACCTTTCACAGTACTGGTGGTTTTATTTTCTCCACCACAGATATGCATCAAATTCTGAATGACTGTATTGTATTTACTAACTGTACTAAAGAATTGTTTTAACTTTGAATTTAAAAAGTAATGAAAATCAAATCCTAATGCGAAATAGAACCACTGAAAAATTATTACTTTCTGCCCCACAACTTGGTGAGTTTTAGGAGCCTCTGAAGCTGTAACAAAATCATGGAGCTTCCAAATTTTGGTAAGTTTATCTTTACAGTACATGTGGTGGAATGGAAATCTGATAACGTACATTGTGCAGAAGAGTACTAGATTTTATAATTAAAAGTCCAAAAATGTACACATTTGATATTAACCATTTGCAGTCAAATCTGACTTTGTTGTCTGCATAGATAGGATGTATAAAAGCCATACATGTTATAGAATAAGTAGTGAAGAATTCCTTCACTAAAGGAATATTAAAACTGCAATATTTCCTTACAGTTGTGGATGTAATACAGCTAGCCCAATGTGAGAAAGGTAACATTATAGAATAAAGCAAATTACAATTATTATTATGTACAATGTACTACATTTCTTACAGCTTCATTATCATTAGTATACAAATTTACAAAAATATTATTTTCCTTCCATAAGGCCACACTATTTTAATATCTTGGTTAACGGATTTTTCTGGACAATATTACATAGCACATTATATTACCTGTAGTAGTTTTCTAGATTTTTAGACATCAAATGTTTCAGAATCTGTGACCTTCCTTCCATCAAATAACTTCAAATTTAAAAATGAATTGTTTTGGGCTGTCACGACTCATGGAATTCAAGGTACAGACAAGTTAAAATATCCATTCTTGACAATTTCTTGGCTATCAGATTGTGTAACACAGGCTACAAAACTGGTGGTGTACTAAGCCCTTCTTCACAGTTTGGCTCTGTTACTCTTGAGAAAAGGCTGAAGGTACTTGTAGTAGGATTCATGAACCTGAAAGCAACACACAATAAGATCAAGGGTTATGTTTTTCTCAACACTTTTTAATCAAAAATGGTAAATTTTTATCACTAAATACAGTCTACGGTTCTGTCCATCAGATACAGCTCTTGGATTTAAACATGTTAGGCCTAGACATTAAAAGTTGTTGGATGGGAAGCTACCCCTGCAAGCCTGTGAAGCTGTATTAAGTTTTCGTCTCAAATAAAGGCAATACCGGTAGCTCAATCTGGTTCAAACCCCAGCCCAGTTTATACCAAAGACTTTAAAAATAGTACATAGTACTGCTTTGTCTGCTTAGCACTCAGAACCAATGAGGAAGTGTATGGGAAGGTCAAACACACAACACTACCAGCGGACTAGCCCCCTGCTATAGTGCTTGCACAACTGTGTGGCCCAATGGCTACAAAAATGGAGATGGGCACCACCCCTATGCTCCACAAGGAGTGGAAAGGGACCTTCTCTCTCTTCTAATCATAAAAAAGCATGAACCAACCTCTGACTTGTTGAGAGGCGACTTCTGGGCCCACTGGTACAGATGTTCATACACTCTGCCATAATGATTGTACAATGTAGCATGGTGATATGAAGTATACTGGCTACAGACACAGATATTATCAACTTAATACACAGATAAACCAACCTCAGTCTTGTTGAGAGGTGACTTCTGGGCCCACTGGTACAGGTGTTCGTACACCCTGCCGTCGTAGCGACCCAGGACGGAATGCAGCATCTTGTCGTGGAGGTCAAAGGCGTCGACCAACGCCACGGCGTCAGGACGGAGCTGGGCTAACACGGCGCTCAGAAGGGAGCTCGCTGCGTCAATGTCTCGGCCTGTCAGGTAACCATCCTGTGGAGAGAGAAACAATGAATGAAAGAATGGATTAATGATTGAATGCGTGGAGAAAGAGAAAGGTTTAGTTTGTTTTCATTATATTTTTACAGTTTATAATCATGTTTTCCTTTAAATCCAGGATCCAATATGAATGAAATTGGTTTAGTCTAACTTATAACATGTATAACATTCAAGATAAAACAAAATCATTATGTAATACCACGTATGTGTAAGGATTACTACTTTGTTTATGGATTTGTCAGGACTTCAATAATTATTATGTAACCTAAGTGTATCTTTGTTATATTTTGTTTGACCCTGACATCTTCTCTCATGACCTCAGCAAAAAGTGGCCAGCAAGTCAATTATAATATATATTTTTATGAATATATATTATAAACATTCAGGACACAGTTAGGTATAACAGACTTAGATGGTACGGCCACCTCCAGAGAATGGACAGGGACAGATGGCCGAAGAGGATCCTCACACTGGATGTGGAGGGTCCAAACCCCCGTGGCCGCCCCAGAAGAAAATGGTATGACAACGTACGGGAGGACCTCCACCACCTGAACCTAGATAAAATTGACCCACAGGACAGAGACAAGTGGCGTGCTGCCATCAAGCCCCAGATGTATTGTGAAAGCACGTCTAACCCTCGGAAGACGGGGAACAACAGACGATAAACCGGACAGTGAGTGAGTGAGTGAATGAGTGAATAGACAAAGCTCAAGAAGAAACAAAGGAAACAGAAGACTCCTGTTCTCACCATGAGGAAGTCTCCAGCGTGTTCAGTAATGCCATGCAGTGAGTACAGCTGACAGAGGGAGGTCAGCACTGCCCTGACAGACTCCTCCACTTCAACTGTCTGTACTGTTTCTGCAAAGTTTCTCACTACAAAGGAGTGGACATGGGCCTGGTGACACACAAAGAACATCAGATTTAGCAAACTTTTGGATGCCTTGCAATTTTTTTTTACAAATACAAAGGCAGCAATACAGCTGAAATACTGAGGAAGAAAAAGATTAATTCTACTAGTTGTTTGGTGTCCAAGCCAAGGGGCTGTTGCTAGTAAAATGTTTGTCCACTTGCAACAGGCAAGGCACAGGAAAATTCTTTGAAAAACAGACTAAGTTCAGCACCTGCAACAGGGCTTTAAGAGTGATATGATGTCCTTTACAATCTGACTGCCACTAAAGGAGCACTTTGTAAAAGTGATGCGTGTTTAGTCCAGGCATTGTGTAAAATGGTATGGGTCAGTAAGACTCAGTACACCTGAAATAAATAAAGAAAGAAAGAAAGAAAGAAAAAATCCCAGACCTGAGCAGCCTTGATGAGCAGGACAGAGCAGCTGTTCCAGGCATCTTCTCGAGACTTCCCCTTCTGCATCTCAGTCTGCATCTGCAGGGCTGCATGTCTCACCATCCTAAAGGGAAAAAAGGAGGTATTTTTGTTATAGACATACTCACTCTCTCTCACTATCCGGTTTATCGTCTGTTGTTCCCTGTCATCCAAGGGTTAGATGTGCTTGTACACACTGGTGCTAAGGCTTGATGGCAGCATGATGAAATATCTTCTTCATAACATGTCTTACTTAAATTTGTGAAAACTCTATACTTTGGCAACTGGGAATCATTGTCTAGTCTCTGCACTACTGGATTAAAATTCTATCATGTACATGTACTTGCCAACTCTAAGTACAAACCTTGTGTGCTATGCTCGGGGTACTTTACTAGTTGTGTAAACAAACAAACAAACCGGCCCACCTGGCTGCCCTGTGCTGGAAGGCTGTCACCTGTGTCCCCAGGTCAGACATGTTCCTCTCACCTGACACAGGTGAGGGCTGGACGGCAGACAGGTACGCAACCGTGCCGCTCAGGGTCTTACCTGACTGGGACTGCACAAAACACTTCACCAGGTACCTGCAGACAGAATAAAGCCATAATTAAAAAATACTTCACTAAGTCTTAGTGCCCCTTCAACAAATATACATGTACATGTAGCTGTAGCTGTAGAAACTTCATGAAGAAGCTGAATGTGTGTGACTTACACTTGGGGATACTGTATTGAGATTGAAGATCTCTGAAGATGTACAGTCATGTATTTTTTTCAAGGTGACAGAAATATGCTGGCTCTGGTTGCCAAAATACAGATGCTAAGTCTTGTGTTTTGGACATTTACTTGATGCTACAATGTAAGTCATGTGTTTAGACATTACAGTTACTGTTGTACAATAATGTTAATACTGTTTGTAGAATCCTTATGCAAGGGTGGTCATTTAGTAGTTCAGGAGTTATTGTAAGCTATTAAATGCTGTACCTTGCTGTCTGTAGCTCCCCCTCTATTGTGCAGGGGCATTCTGATCTAATGCTGTACTTTGCTGTCTGTACTAAGTACATGACTTTGTGTAACCTATAGCTAATGCTGTACCTTGCAGTCTGTAGCATCATGACAGTGTTCTCCCCCTATGCTGTACAGAGCTGTACCAGCACTGAACAGGACAGTCAAACTTAAGTTACTGTACCTTGTGTCTGTACTGAAGTACGGGAGTTACTGTGACCTAATGCTGTACCTTGCTGAGTTACAGTAAGACAGCTAACGCTGTACCTTGCTGTCTGCAGCATCATGACAGTGTTCTCCCCTTCTGCTGTACACAGAGATGTACCAGCACCAAACAGGACAGTCATACAATTATTGTACTAAAACCTACATAATTCAAATAAATTGCTGTACCTTGCTGTCTGCAGCATCATGACAGTGTTCTCCCCTTCTGCTGTACAGAGAGATGTACCAGTACTGAACAGTGCAGGCAGCCCGCTGGCGTGTGAGTACCCATGACCCCCACACGACATCCGACACACGTCAATCCCAGCTGACATCACTGCCGTGGTGTAGGACTTCAGACCAGCGCTCAGGGCATGCAGCTAGGAGAGATGCCAGGTATGATAGCACATATTTTACCTTAAGTTTCTTAAATTTAACAAGGAAACTCATGATCATAAACATTTGAAGGGGAATAACCAGTAAGCTGTTGATAAATCTTTATTAAGAACGACACTTCATATCACCTTGTGCTATAAGAGAGAAATTTATTAATCTAGCTCCACGTATTCTAAGACTAGTGTTTCTATAGAAAAGTAGAGATCTGGTCATTCATAAACTGATAAAGCATAATATGATGACTAATTCAAGTTGCCATCCAATTCTAGAAAACTACCTAGCTGACATAGCTATATAACTGCAGCATTCCTCTGCAAAACTGACCAATCTATGAACATGTGACCTTAGTGACACACAGCTATTAGAGGAAAGGGTCAATGGTGCCTGGGAGTTAACTTTGCAGGTAGAATGTTTTTCTTGTGTTCGGTGACAAAATCTAACAACACAAACTAAGAATTTCATGATCTATGTCAAGTCTTTATTAACCAACTGATTGATTGACTGACATGACTGGTGGATTTACTGATTGATTGATTGCTTTCTTGATTGATTGATTAATTAATTGATCGATCGATAGGCCTTACCTCTGCCAGCCCGGACATGTCTCCCTTCTCCATACTGCCCGTAATGCTGGCGTGTTGCTGAGTCATGAAGCGAGCAGCAAACCAGAAAGCATAGGCAGCAGCCAGCTGGGGGAACAGCTTGTACTGCTGCGTCTGGTAGTCAAGAATCTGTGGCTCGGGCTCCCTACACAAAAAAAAGGACAGAGTAATTTTCTTCCTTGAATAGTTCAAAGCAATATTTAAGCCCAACATTTTCTGTATCAGATTGTGTATCTGTATAGCCGGTATAACTATAAGCGCCCTTTGGCAAGCACGCGATGTGGCAGCAGTTGGCTACACTACACCGATCAACTTGTTACACCTATCCCTTGAACATCTAACTAATCATTGTTTAAAGCTATCTAATGATGCTTTGATGATTCCCTGTTTTTAATGCAACTAGTTTCTGTATACAAGTGTTAAATTCCAAGTGCAGTCACTGTTATTGTAGCAAATTGTTCATTAGAAATTTTACAGTAGAATGTAAAAATGTCGAACTTCAAGAACCTACCCCGGTTTCATCTCGCTCTGCCTGCGCACACAGCTGTACCTGACAGCTATAGTGGAGGCAGAGGCCAGCGCTTGAGCAGCACTCATCACAAATGTTCCTCGCAGGTACACCTGAAACAAGAGGAGAGTAGAAACAGAAAGACACTCCTGGTCCGAGCCAACACTCTAACCATTCGGCTAAAAGATCTAGACCCATCAGACGGCTTGTAGCGCTTATAAATCTCCACTGTTACACTGCTCCAGCTTTTCTTCTTACACTTGCCCTCAAATCTTCGATATCCCTGGAGAGGCACACTTTGCCAGTACTCTCAGAGCTGGCATGGGAACCACTGTAACAAGGAGGTGAGTAGAAACAGAAAATTTAAGACACTCCTGGCCACGGGCTGGGAATCGAACCTGTGCTGCACCTTGGTACCAGGTCATACCCCGACACTCTAACCATTCAGCTAAAAGGTCATCAGACGGATCAGTTGGTAGTGCTTATAAAAAAAACCCACTGTTACACACCATGTTGCTGTATGCCAGCTTGGAGCTGGCGGGCTGGACGTACGTCCCGTCTGGCTCCACACGAGCAAACTTCATCAGCATGTTTTCCCGTGGGATTCGCACGTGGTCGAACCGGGCAAAACCGTTGTCGTTTGCGTTCCCTTCCATCTTGGGACCGATGTCACCCAGCGTCACCCCTGAAAGAAATAGACAATATTAAGGAGAGGGTCAATACCTAAGTTTATTCACTAACCATTCATTCATTTATTCATTCCTTCCATTCTTCATTCATTCATTGCTTTCTTTATTCCTTTCTTCAACCATTCATTCCTTTCTTCCTATCCTCTTACCTTCTTTCCTTCCTTTCTTTTTTCTTCCATTCTTCCCTTATTTCCTTACTTCCTTCATTCATTTAGTACACTTTCATGAACAGTACATGTATATCCCATCTGGTTCTGGAACGGTTTAGGCTACCGTAATTTATTTCCTTGGTTCTCAGCAAAAATATACATGTAGCAAACAGACATTATAAATAAGGGCACAGAGGGCAGAAACAGAACCAAGTTGGACTGGAGGTTACCAGGACATGGCGTGTGGTCCTCCAGACTGCGTATCTGCACCATGAAGTTGTGAGGTCCGTAACACTTCCCCTGTGTGTACAGCTGGGCCATCACTGTCGCATAGTTGGACGTCTTACCCACTGGAGAAAACAATGTAAATGTTGTAAAAATGATATATCTTGACCTGCCTTCTCTTGTAATATCTACAGGTATATGATTGATCCTTTTAAAAAATGTTTCACAGCCAAGGAACAAAGCAAAGATTTGAAAATAAATACACAATAACTTACATCCAACTTGATGTAAACTTTCATAGTGATGTTATCAGAAAAAAGACAGTCGAAAGGTATATTTAGTTTTGCCTGGGACTACATCATCAATCCTTATTGCACACCTGCTTCATTTCATTACATTTAGTACAACCGTTTTAGAACTTAGATTAAGAAACAGATAAATACTAAATATATTCTCTACAACAAACAGTAAACAAACCATTATGGTCTAAAACGGGGTAGGGAATTTTCCCGACCAGCCTCGTAACCCCTGCTTCTCCTATTGGGTCAGTTAGTCCTCACTACTTATGAGAAATTGGGCTGGTCTCAATCACGATGTTTCTGACTCAGGGAGAAGAGTTGCTGTTACAGTTACAGGCTAGCTCTATGCCTAGAAGTGGCCAAAAATGGCCTTGCATTGAGCGACATCGTTAAAAATAAAATCAATCAGAACGGTAGCTTACATCCGCCCGGCCACCACTTGGTTGAGGTCAGGGTTGGAGAGTGGATCACAAACTCCTGTGTGCTGGGGTCATAGGTCGCTGTGGTCTCCAAACCTCGCACAAATGTGCCTGAAACAGGTGATTAAATACAAAAATTCAACTGAGCATCTCTACAGTAAATACAGTGTGAGCAACAATCACGTACAAAAAAAGATCTGAGCTCAAGAAAAGTAGGATCCGCTGTCTTCCTCTGTCTCAAAGGAGGTCAAACCCAGTAGGTTTAGGGGATAGCTCTATCTTTAGTTAGTACGTGGTTTTCTTACCACTGTTTCTATTTCTTTGTTCAATTAGACTCTAAATGCTCTTTTTGTGCTTTTTTCTTTCACAATTAGCAAAAGTTTGTACTATGCACCAACAAATCAAGGCCTAAGCCATACATACCATGCCCCATCTCAGTCTGTGCGTACGCCCCGACAATAGAGAGGTCCTGTGCAGGTTTCAGCCACTTCTGTTTCTGTTCCTCTGTCCCCTGCTGCAGGATGGTGGGGATGAAGGCAATCCAGGTCAGGGCAAGGCCAGGCATGCCTCCAGACAGGGCGGCACTGTGGATTATAGATAGATATAGAAATTAGGCTGTTATTTTGATGTAAGACAGGCATCTAGGTAGAACAATACTGTAGATCACTTTGTGTTTGCTGTAGCAAAATTTCACGGTCTGAGAAAAATGAACATAGTCACAGAACTGTGAGGCAGGCAGGTGCAGAAGAAAAAGTTGCAGAAGAAAAAGTTGGCAAATGATTTGTTCATGTTAATGATAAATTTGCAGTACACTGAAGTGACCCCGTGAAAACTGTGAATATAAAAAAGTAACAAGAAAATGAAGTGATGTACAGTACTGTTCATAGCACAGAACATCTCATTTAAGGTCATATTTGCGTATTTAAGGATGCCATCCCATCTATAGTTTTCAAATATTGTGTCAGAAAAGAAATTGTCTGCAACAGTCAAAATTCTGATGCAACGTTGCCCAAATATCTGATAAAAAATGCACAAAAGCTGGTTTTTGCACAGGCGCAGTATGTTCTGCAAATGTGCTGCGCTGACATCTGTGCAAAACTTACTTCCTGTATGTGCTGAGATCCTCCTCTGTGATGTTTAGTTCCTTGACCCGCTGCACAGTGGTTAGGGCACGTTTCAGCTGCGAGCTGTACAGTTCTTCTCTCGACATGAACACTGGGTCTTCATCACCACTGTACGCTGGGTCACTGAAGGCCAGGGATTCTGGAAAAAAACGGATAAAAATACATGTACCATTTTCCTGACAATATGGTGCTTTTTTAAGACTTCAGGGCTCAAAAAGTTAACCTATATATTCATTACTCACGAAACTTAGTGACTGACAGACAGACATATACACACTATGGCACCACAAAGGATTGTTTAGATTTTTTCATTATTTGTTACATATTTAGGTGCTTTAGGTGTTAAGACTTGATGAATGACCTGTTCAAAGTTCACTATATGTAACCTGAAGGACGTTGACCCTTAAACCTCACATTCGACTTTAATAGAATAATATTTAATGTGACTCAACAAAACGACCCTCCCATTTCTAGGTCGGGAGATACAGCTATAATTTTTTTAGAGCCTTTACTACCTATACTACTTTGTAACTTTTCATGAAGAAAAACTTTTCACAAAATACAAAATGGATACGCCCACCTTTGCACCTTCAGAAAGTTACCCAGTAAAATTGATAAAGAAACAATGCAGGAAAAGGCAAATGTGTTTCCCTACCGATGTACCGCCTTCTCCTCACTTTTTCCGCGCCGCCGTACAGAAGGTTGGTGAGTTTTTGGGTGTTAAAACTGGCATTTTCCCTCTCTTTGGCCAAATCTGGGTTCACCTGTCCAGCCATTCTTGTTTTACTAGGTCAAAGGTAATCGGACTGTAGCACTTTGACATCACCACAAGATTTTAAGTTAATTTGTCCTGTTAAAGCAATTTTGCGACGCATTATGGATGGAAAATGAATTTAAGTTATACTTTCTATTCTAAATCTTCCAAAAAGTGCAGAACGAAAAAGACGATTGTGTTTATGAAACTGATCGAAATACACCACCTATTCTGTAATGGACTATTCCAATGACCCCGCTGCAGGTCATTCATCATCCAAGATGGCGGAAAAATCGTAGGCGGAAAAAAATTCTCATGTTTCTCCTACAAATTTAAGCTTTTAACGGCCAAAACAACGACTTTTAAGGCTCAACAATGGGCAGTAACGTCAGCCAAAGTGACAGCGATGACGATTTTTTGTCTGACGACCCTTCTGATGGCGAAGAAGCCCGCGACCCGACGCAAATTCGCGGCGGGAGGAAGAGTTTCGATCTGGACTTGCTGTTCGATCACGGGAAACTGCGCGATGCAGCTTCAAAAATCAAGGACGGTTTGCCCGAGAATGTTCTACAGCAACACCAGGTAATTTTTCACTGTACTGCTGTGTTCACTGTTTTCACTGTCACTTCTGTACCGTGAACTTATCATTACAGTTAACAAATAATTTGTTCCTGGACTTTCTTTTTTCCTGCACCTGTCACCACCGTGGCGTGAATATATATATAGTTCCGTGAACTTTTGCTACCATGAACATAAATGTTGTTGTTGTTGTCCTTGTGTAATATCTATTCCTCCGCTAGACATAGTCTCTGGGTGCCATTCTCAACTAGGTGCTTTGTTTGGGTATGTTCCCACTGGTGCTTGTACTCTGGTGCTTTGCGCATGTGTGTTTTCAGCTGCGCTTGTTCCTTAGCCATTCTTCCTAAATCTTGCAGTGGACTCTATGTACTTTGAAAATGCTCTGTACATCATGTTGTTCATCTCTTCTCCTAAATCTTCCCTCATCCCTGCCAGAGTAATAATGTCGTCAAATCTTGCTTCACTGTCTGTCCCGTGAAGTTGAATTACAGTAACAGTGTGGGTAATCTTATTATTTGCCATACATTGTACCCGTGACAATCGTTGTGCAATAAACTTTGACTTGACTTTATAGGCGCTACCAACTGATCAGGCCGGGGGTTGTATAATCTATACCTTCTTTTTATTCAACCCTCCTAATACTTCCAGGGGCACCTGATCCGCTGGCTGGAGGACCGCAGCGCGCGGAACGAGGAGACGGTCTCGCTGTCTCAGTTCTGCGACCAGCTCATGAACCACCGCGGGGTCGGCAGGGAGGAGAGCGAACAGGTACACGGACGTATTTACTTGTAATCTTCGAGTAGATGTAACCTACAGGTGTTTGCTTGCAGTTGTTTTTGCAGTGTTTTTCTCCACCCCACCCCCATGACATAGATCGACATAGTCATTAGCTACCGGTAAACGTTCAACAAACAACCAAAGCTGTACATATCATGTTACAAATATTATGCACACTACGTCAGAGGCTTTGCTGGGGAAAATGAGTAATATGATAGGAGCGCAATTATCTTGTGATGTTGAGGTCAGCGTCAGATCGAATAACTGAGCAGGGGATCGGTTGCAGATCTAGAGTAGGGCCATAAAATCTGATGTACAGTGTATACATGTTTGTTTTTTTAATCTAAAGCTTTGATGAGTTTTCACAGTCAAATCAGTCATATTATAAGTGTATAAATATTATATACTTTATTTTAAGTCACCGGATGGTCATACTACTATCACTTGTAAGTGGTTTAAGCAACACAAAAGAGGACATGCCACATTGCAACATTACATATCACATCAAGCCTTTAAACTGTATATATAGGTTGACATGTGACATGTGCAGTGTAAAAATGGTGCATTTCTCTGCAGGCATTTTCCCAGTTTGACACAGAGGGAGATGGTTACACAGAAGTACAGGCCATGCTGGAGACTCTGAAGTCATCCAACGGAGCAAACCTGCAGGGAGAACTGAACTATGTAGTACGCAGTCTACAGTCATGTATCCTCACTCCCGGGTTTGTGGATGTGTTCGCTTCAGACAGGTGGGTTAACCGTTTGTTTGTTTGTTTGTTTGTTTGTTTTCCATGACAGTTAAACCACCCTTAGGCATATAACACACCAGTTCTGTACATTCTCTGTCACTATGGAAACCAGTTATCATAGCCTCCAAGATCCTGGTAACAGTTCTCAGTCTAACATTAATTGGTCCATGTTAGTAATTTACAAACATATGCCGGCAAAGTCTAGACATCCAGGTGATAAGATACGTGTATGCCGAAAAACAACTGGATATGATTTTTGAAATGGTCAGACATTTCAGGTAGCATCAATTTGCATATCAGTCAATAGTTCATACTTATAAACCTGCCTTTCTGACAACTCTCCAGTGTCACTGACAAAAGTCAGTGGATGCTACCTGAAACGTCCGACCGTTTCCAAAATCATATCCAGTTGCTTGAGTAACTGTTTTTTGGTGTAATTTACTGAAATGCTGCCATGTCATTCTTCCCCCTATAGACACAGCGTATCGCAGCACGGGAAGCGGATGTTAAACTTCCTCCTGCGGAACCGAACTCCGAGCTCCGCCCTCCCCTTCTCCATCCTGGACGGCTTCAACAACACGTCAGCCATGCGGATGGCTGTGCTCAGGGATCATCTGCATCAGCTGAAGGGTGCCAGTAAGTATCAGTCAGTCAGTCAGTCAGTCAGTCAGTCAGTCAGTCAGTAAGTATCAATCAGTCAGTCAGTCAGTCAGTAAGTATCAGTCAGTCAGTCAGTCAGTCAATCAGCTTCAACAACAGGTCTGCCATGAGAATGGCTGTGCTCAGGGATCATCTGCATCAGCTGAAGGGTGCCAGTAAGTACCAATCAATCAATAAATCAATCAATCACTAATAAATCAATAAATCAATGTGAAACTGTACTAACTATAACAGGAAGGTTGAATTGTAGGTCGAAATGGTTACCCTGCAAACTGGGAGGAAGTGACAGTGGAATACATATATGCTCAGAATCAGCAAGAAATTCAAAATTATGACGTACCAGGTGAACCATTTTCAAACTTAACCTTCATTTCCACAGCTGCTACTCACCTACCAAATATCATTAAGATACATGTACATCCTCAATTTCTCAACTTATGCTGTTGACATGCATATACAGACCTACACCACAGCCACTCCACCATGGCAAAACAGAAAACATAACCTTCTTGATGTACACAAAAATCACAACAATCTTTGATTTCTTGTTTCTACCATGGCTTCCTTGACAAAGCCACACTAGAAATATCTAGTCTTGTAGTCAACTACCATTTGTGTTGAGTATCAAATAAACAAGGATGTAGCTAAGAGTCTCAGAGTTGCTGATTTTACGTTAACCATTCTCATGCTAGTGTCTGAGTCAGAAGAGGCCATAGCCATCAGTCCCACCCAGGAGCAGAGGGTCATCTCCAAGTGTTACAAAGGCATCGACGTGTCCACTAACAAAGCTGACGTCCATCGTATGACAGACGGGGACATGTCCACTTACTGGCAGTCTGATGGGTCAGCACGCTCACACTGGGTGAGGGTCGGCATTTTATCAATAAATCTATCTATCAATCAATCAATCAATAAATCTATCTATCAATAAATCTATCTATCTATGTATCATCTGCAAACATCAATGCTGATGTATGGCTTGTGTAGACCCAACAAAATCTCCAGGTTGTCCTTATTATGTCAGCAAGGTCACACTTGGTGAGGGCCTACAGTTTATCAATAAATCAATAGATTAATCAATCATCTGCAGACATTAACACTAATGCATGGCATATGTATTACAGTATATATGTAGACATCTTTCTGAGTGTATTGAGTCAATGAATTTCATTGCATCAGCTATTGCCATTGCATGCTAATAAATTCTAAGGTGGTCCTTGTCCTTATGCACAGATGATCAGTAGCACAGTTTGGACTTTATTGATTTGGCTATGTAAAATGTGATGACAATATGTTGAAATTAAAGTGACACATGAGTGCTATTTTTTAAGAGAGTTCCCCATGCTATTAAAATGACTCGATAAAAGATGTTTCTCTTGGCCTTTTGGCCCTAATTATTTCAGACTATTTTACAGTTAATTCATAACTATTATTCTACCTAATTCAGGTGCGAATCCACATGAAGCCGAATGTGGTTCTGAAACAGCTGGCGATCCATGTGCAGTCATCAGACCAGAGCTACATGCCCCAGACTGTCACTGTGTCTGTGGGGAAGAGTCCTACGTCATTACATGAGATTAAAGAGGTATGAATTCATCATGGTTGTCTTGTCACTTACAACTTCTTTTAACAGTGTAAAGCTTGCTTTAAATGTAAATCAATAGCTGTAACAGTAGTTTAATAATGACGTAGTATATGCATCAGATTCTGCTGTAAATTAGCAAGGTATTTCAGACAATATTCAATGATGTACGAGCTAGTATCCTACTCAAGAGCCTTGTTTTCTTTTTCCATTTGTAGGTACAAATCCAAACTTGTTTTCATTATATGGAATAATGAAGTCAGTGATTAAAGAAATAACTGTTACTGGTGAAAGAAGATATCATTATCATCATGTCTCTGGATTGGAAAGGAAGATATTCATTGTTGCCTTGCTACAGTACTGAGCATTATTATTGTCCCCCCCCCCCTGCCCAGGTGCGTATCCCCAGCCATGTGACGGGTGATGTGACTCTGCTGGAGAATGCCAGGATGCACTACCCCGTGGTCCAGATCAACATCCGCCGTTGCCATAGTGACGGCTGTGACACCCGCATACACGGCCTCAAAACGCTGGGATTCAAGGTAGGGGTAAGGGGAGAAAATGTTGGTAAATTAAGAAAATCTTGTAAAAGTAAGATAATCTTGGTCTATTAAGAAAATCTTGGTGAATTAGGAAAAGTCTCAGTAAATGAAGAAAGGTCTCTTTCCATTTAATCAATAGTAATTATGATGGAAAGGAAGCATACTCTTTTGTATGGTAGAATTCCATCCTTACCTTCACTAGTCTTGTAACTAACAAAAAAGGAAGAAAGCAACTAAAAGAAAAGAATGAAAGAAATTTGCAAATGAAGAAATTAAATGTCGCTGTAAAAGTAGATACGGTAGGTCTTGTCATAACTGATGATACTTTTTGATATACAGTACTGTACCATTTTCAGTGTGGTAGAATTCCATGATCACTTTTAACTACATGTACTTATTCTAGTAATCAGCATTTCTGATGTACAGTGACATTTGCAGGCAGCAAAAATGTTATTTTTCCTTGTTTTCCCCCAGATGTCAGAAGATCGTGGTGTGAGCATTGCGGATGCCTCAGCGGTGTGGTACCTGTCTGTCCTGGCCTCCACAGCCACCGCCTCCATCCCCACCAACCCTGCGCTGGCCCAGACCATCCTCACCCACACCCGCCAGGCCCTCAGACACATGCCCCCCCTCTCCTTGCTGCCCGGCTCCAAGGCATGCCCGTCGTTCCTCAGCCCTACACTGCTGGATGAGATTGAGAGGTTCCTGAAGACTATTGTGGTGACTGAAGAAGAGAAGGTGCAGAGTGCTGATGGTCTACTGGTGGGTTCTTGACTGATTTTCCTACATTGACAAGTTGAGGAAAAAACAGAAAAAGGCAAATGTGCTGCTGAAGTTAATTAACTTATGTGCAATTTTTTGTTTGAGACTTGATTGTCTACACTTCAAATTTAGACACTGGGAATGTGCAAATTCTAACCAACTCAAAAGTCCAGTTATCTATAATTATTCTGATAAATGGGCCCATAGTGCTAAGGCATTTTCTTAAGACTGTTCCGTTTTTTTTTTAAACTCTCCCTATTCATCTTGGAAAGAGATCAATGTAATCAACGAAGACATTTGGATTTATCAAGTCAAAAGACAATGTCAAATATATCCATTAAGCTTTTCATTCAGCTAGACGTGATTAATGTGCATTTTTTGGATAATCAAATACTAGATGCTGCAAAACTGTATTACACTTGTCTATCCCATGCAGGTGCTGATGTCCCTGTCTCTGGCCCGAGGAAGGCTGGTCAGTGTCCTGGAGACGCTGTCCCTCCTGGCCGAGAACCAGGACATGGAGATGCTCGCTGTGCCACTGCTCAAGTCCATGCACAAGGTCACCGAGAACTTCTGGAGGAAGTACGGCTATCCCTTACAGGTGGGACAGTCTTACATTTATCTGTTGTACATGTAGTTTGTGTAGGCAGGGCTCAAAATTCATTTTTGTTAAACCCTTTTTGGTGCACAAGATAACATAATATAAGTACAATGTCAGCAAGACCTAGCTACAGTATTAGATACAAATCTTACAGTTAAATCTCTGTATACTATAGCTAGTGTACACTACAGTAACTTTTACCTAGTAGACATATTTTGTACATACATGTAGTGCTGTATTACGTGACATTATGTACATTGTAATTCCACAAAACGTCTAGCACTCACAGTCAAAAAAGATTCACAGCTCCAATTTTTGTTGCACAAAACATCAATGATTTTGTGCCCTCAGAGTGTGTATATGTAACAAAATAAATCAAGAAGCAACTGGATAACTTTGAAGAGTCAGACATTTTAAATAGTACAGTTTTCAGTGTTTTTGTTGACTTATTTTGTTGACTTGTTATTTCCCAGTTGTCCCTTACTGGCTGTGATGGCGGGCAGAAGGACAACAACTGCCCCCCCTCCATTGTGCTCACCTCCGACTGGTCCACAGAAACTTACTACACCGCCATGGGCAAGAAAACTGTCAACTTCTTCTTCAGAACCGAGGGCGAAACTGCTGTCCAGCTCACAAGGGTCCGCATCAAGGTGAACAAAATATTATTTTTAAAGATTTAAAAGTAGAAAGGCCGACATTTACACAGGAGCAAATGCAGAATGGCTTCACCACATTCCCCATCCCCCTCCTAAATCACCCCTATTTAAAATGACCCCATGCAGCAATGGTATCTTTCAATGCCTTTCGCTCACAGTTGGAACATGTAGATTGACAAGATCCATCGAATTTTTTTGTATCATTCTGGTGTTACATGGTACAGCTTGAAGTTAACGGTGATTTTAATGATTTTTTACTATATAATATTTCTCTAGCTTTTAAACTTCAAAGGCATCATGTTATTTCACCCCATTGTAAATAGTACATACTTCAGCCTATGGCTGCAGAAATGTACCTTTTTTAATAAACCATTCATTCATTCATTCATTTACATGTATTCATTCATCCCAGGTCCCCAAGGGTGGCACTGGGGCGAAATCCGGGATGCTGTTCCTGTACAACGCTGCTGACGAGTTTGACCTTGAAACGCACTCGCGGAGGTTCCGTGAGTACGACAAGATGACCTCATCACAGTATGATGTCATGAACAAGATGAGGAGCGTGGGAGTCGGGAAGGCAGAAGAGACGCCGATCGCTTTCTTCACGTTCGAGGAGGACTGGGACGAGGTTTATTTATTTATTATGTTTACCGAAGAAAAAATATTGGTTTTGCTACGTTTCCTCTTCTTCTTCTTCTGTTCCAAACACTGACCTCTGACTTGGCCAATGACCTGATTTGCTGAATAGTTGATGCAGCTTTAACATTGAGTGTGAGTTTATTCCAACTGACTAGTACTGCACCTCCGGTGTTAGAAATACCCACCTGCAGTCTGCATTTTGCAGGACATTTTGAAAGTTGCAGCAGAAAAATTAAGCAACCTGCATTTTTGCAAATTCTGGGGTTAAATAATGTTTAAGAGATTTTGTGCTTATATTGACTGTACTATTTTTCAAATTGCATTTAAAATATTTGCCAACATGCGCCATGGGTTTAGATCCTTTTAAGTGTGTATTCGCAGAAAGTATTTCCGAATTGCACAACAAAATTTTGACATTCTACAATATTGCAGGACACTGCAAAAAAGTATTTCTACCACTGGCCTTATATATATATATATATATGTGTATATTATAAACAAATGTTGTTTTACCACAGGTTGACGTGAACGTTGATGTGTGCACGCGCGGAACATTCGTCCTCCTGAAGATCACCGGGCCTCGCTCCGACTCCGCCGAACGCGTGGGCCTGATGGGCGTAAAGTTCTACGGCTTCCAGCGTCCCCACACCGCCAACGCGGCCGAAGACATCGGTATTAACCAATCCAGTCGCATAACCGTCGACGACAACAACCCAATCGACGCTGTGACCGTCTTCATCCGTATGTTGTCTTTTCTGGTGGACATGACGCGCGACGCGCCCGCGAAGAAGGATAGTTTCCGCTCGTCGAAGCTCCAAACGATCGATCTAACCGGGGTGTCGATAGAAATGCTGTGGAAGCTGTATTGTCACATCCCCGGGAAGGATAAGATCTGGGGAGAGAGGATCGCCAAAGTCAAGCTGCTGCAGCTGCTCAAGTGTTGCTTCCCCTTCCTGGCGGCCACTGCTGCTGCGTGTAAGGAGAAGGAGAAACAAGAGGCCAAACAGAGTAGGTTCTTAAGGTTGCCTGTTCAGGGCTCGAAATACAGTCTGTACTTATTTTCCATTGACAGCACTGAGATTGAATTTCCCTTCTGTCAAAATTTTGGCCCTTGAAATCGCAGAGTTGTTCTAATTTTCTTGCAATCTCAAAGTTTTCTAAATCTCAGGTTGCAGGTTGGTATTTCGAGCCCTATACAACAGTTGTTAAATTGTCTTTCTTGTGTCACTTGTGATGTGGCCTCCTGGTTATTTGTGATTTTCCCTCCTCTTTGTAGCCACTCCCACACATGCTTCTTCTGTTTTGTTGCATTTATTGTCTGTTTTGTTGCACCTTACAGGCTTAATGTTCTGTTTCAGGATTGGTTCTTTGAATTCTACAATTTTGTGATGATGTTTCCAATGTTTTACCCCTGTTTTGTATTGAACCAGCTGGCTCTAGCTAGATCCTGCTGCATTTTCCTGCCTCTTACCTCTGCCACTGTTTTGTCCTGCCCCCCTCCCCCTATGTGCCACTATGATTTCTGCCTGTGTCTGTTGCAGTAATGTTGCGATGGCCACAGCTACCTCCCCACATGCTCTTAACTGAGGTCCTCAGGCGTAAAGGTGGGGCCTCTGTCAGAGAAAAAAATGCTGTGACAGTCACAACTTCTTTCTCTAGCTGTATCATACTTGCATCTATGTTATGTCTGCTTTCTTACAGTAAATAAGGTACATTTTGTTTCTTTTTTTCTTTAATGAATCTGCTGAATGAAAGACCAAAAGACCACTACTGGAACAGCCTCTCTTCTCCCTAAGTTATAAACATGCATGATTGTACAGGCTCCATACAGTTAAGGATTGTCTAGTACCTACTAGTATTAGTAATTAAATAAGCTGATAGCACCATATTCGCCCCTGTCATTTTGTTTGTGCAATAAGAATGTATTTACCTGTTACTATAATAATCCTTGCTGTATCATCTATAGCTAGTATGCAATACTCTACACTTCATCAATGCCAGCTGTACTAATTATAAAGCTGACTGTGTTGTTCAGTTTTCAACTATACCTGTTGTTCAGCTATACCTGGCTACACTTGGCTAACATTTCACCCTGACTCGCCCCCCAGACAGTTCAGGTGAGATCGCTGCAGGTGCGATGTTCACTCACCTGTGTGACGTGGTGGACAGTCCAGAGAAACACCTGAAACCCATCAAGGTGGTGGCCGAGCAGGTCATACTGGACGGTCAGTATTACAAACAGTCATGTACAGTCATACATTGTAGTGTTGTGCGTTCTTTGTGCTGTGCTTTGAGCCAATCTTGAGCCAAATTTAAAAAGTTTGAATCTAGGCTGTTGATTTCAGCTTGTACAAGACAGTAAGTATGCTTCTGGTCTAATTTATTACAAAGGGTTGCAGTCCTAAGAAATGTGGACGTTTAAGTTGTGGTACAGACAAATGAACATGCCATAGGTAACGCACAGATTTCTAAAAATAACGGGGAATAACTGTGATTCAGGCAAAGAGAACTTTCCACTTCAGTGTTCCCTCAGAGTTGTAATGTGTACTTAAGTGTCCTAGAAGCATAACATTTTCTCTCCTCCACCTGTAGCTGTAATTAAGACAAAAATCTTTCCATTTTTCCCCCAGGAGCTTCCGTGTTCTTCCCTGACAAGGATGCCCGCCGTAAGCAGCTGTTCCAAATGATGGACACCATCTCCAGTCAGGAGCAGCCTGCTTCAGCTGTGCTCACCTTCCAGTCTCTGTGCCAGTTCTTCAGTAGTGTGGACCCCAGCGGCCTGCTGGCATTGCCAACTGCTGATACAAAGGTGGGTTTAACATTCTTTATGCTACAGATCAATCATAGTCTTTTTGTCCCTTCTCTTTTAACCATTTTGCCCAACTTACAGAAATGAATGACTAGATGGGTAATTATGAAAGGTAGATATTAGGTAGGTACAGAAATGAAGGTTTATGCACGTTGGTAACATTATGATCATAATTGCTTCTCCATCTCTAGTTCTTCAAAGTTGATCAGGAACTTGCTGTGATGAACACCCTCCTGCTTATAACCCATTGCAAGTTCTAGATTCTATGTGTATCTATCTGTTCCAGTATTTAACAAATATGTTTCTTACCTGCAGGAGGACTTCAAAGTTGACCAGGCACTTGCTGTGATGGACACCCTCCTGGATGCTGTTCTAGGTTGTCTGTTCCAATATTTTTTGTATCATTCTATCTATTTCATCCATTAGGAGGACTTCAAAGTTGACCAGGCCCTTGCTGTAATGGACACCCTGCTGTCCGTGGCCCACCGTGAGTGCTCGGCGACGCTAGCCGGGGAGAAGGGCTCGAACGGTCGCGCCTCGTTCCTCGTACGTCTGCTCTGCTCCCTACAGGGCAGCCTCGCCACATGGTGCTGTAAGCAGATGGAGGGAGACGACAGCAACAAAGGCGCGCCCACGCAGGAGTCTGTGGGGCTGGCCACAACTCTGCTGCAGAAATGTGAGTTTGGGTGATACATGACATTGAAAAAAAACTGCAACTGTTGCAGACATATTTGAGTTTCAATTGAACATTGGAAAACTGAAATTGTTGCAGAAATGTGAGTTTTAACTTTAAATTAACAGTGGAAAAACTGCAACAGTTACTGTACTGTAACAGTTGCAGAATTGGGAGTTTTAACTTTAATTTCACCATTAGAAAAACTGCCACAGAATGTAAATCCATCAGGGGGTCACAAGCACCTAGGAGTCTGTACAGACCACTTGTCTTGGAAAAGTATCGATTGTTATCTCAAGGGTGTTTGTCCATAGAAAAGAGCTAGGGGAATTTCCCCAGTACAATGAACCTGTAAATACTACATGTAGTATCGCAATACTACATGTATTCTCTGTCACAAAAAGTTTTAACAAAATTCGTCCTTCAGTGAGCTTACATGCAAACTGGTTCGAGATCAGTGTCTTTTTTCTTTCCCCTCCAGACACATTCCTGCTGAGTCGACACTGTACAGAGCTGCTGGGGAAGCTTGTGGAGATGGGAGAGAAGGCTGAAGCTGCACTGGCCAACCTGCAGCACTCATTCTTAGCCACGGCACTGCCACAGGTACCATCTCAAATAGCAGTGTGTTACACAATCTCTCACTGTCAGGGGCTAGATTGGGCCTCCTGCCTGAGAGGTCTGATCTGTGTAAGGTCTGCTCAAACTGGAAGCTTGATGTAGTCAGGCTACCACTTGGAACATGGCACAGTTTCTAGACCTGTTGACATTATAATGGAGACACCCCTATTTTCTGATGCCCCAATGTTCTGACTCGGAGTCCTCTATTCCAACACTTCTATGTTCTAGCATATGTTTAGGGTTGTTAACATGTTAGGATGAGGTGTAAGAACATAGAGGTGTAAAGTGTATTTTTATAGGGACCTCTGTTGTATTCTTAGTTAATCAATTGTGAAGAACTTTTTTTACCAATCATTTGATAGAAATGCACCCTAAATATTTCAAGAATTATAGTATTGTGATACAGCTATAATTTTTCCTGTGTTTATCCCCAGATGATAGTGTGGCTGATGCTGCTATGTGAGAAGCCCATCCCCCATGTCTCCACCATGCACACACTGCAGCCTGTAGCCGCTGAGCTGCACAGGCTGGCAAAGAACCTGACAAACACCTTCTACAAGTAAGGAATGGTCCTAGAACATTCTTTTGTGTACAATGTCATGTAATACATGACATACTATGTCATATTTGTGTTGTATGACAGGTAAACGTACTCAAGGCATGATAACCGTGTGGTTACAAAACTGGCAAAGAACCTGCAACCTTCTACAAGTAAGGAAATAGTCCCAGCACTATTGTCTCTGATTAATTTGCTCAAGGTACACAGTGTAACACACCCACCAAACTGTGGCTACCAAAATACGCAGACTGATTGGTGATACTAAGTTGAAAGATACCAAAATAAACAAAACAGAGGCTGAGAAGAAAGTCAAAACAGTTTCAGAGAGTCAGATTTAGTTTTTCCTCTAACTTCTAAGCCCTTTTTTCCTCAAACCATTCCTCTTGCTCAGTACATACTTCAAACTTTTGGAAACCAAGGCTATGATAGATTTCATCTAACTTCCAGACTGGACAGTGAGCAGTGGTCATCCATCGGTAATGACCAGGTTGTCCTGAGGACGTGGAACGTGGAATCTCCGCATAACTACGAGAACAACCAGCACTCCACACAGATCTTCACCTGTCCCGGCGCCACGCACTTCGTGGTGGAGTTTGATCAGAGGAGCGAGACAGAAAAAAGGTGGAACTTAACTTCATGTCACCTGCACACTCACTCACTATTCAGTTTAGCGTCTGTTGTTCCAAGTCTTCCAAGGGTTAGACGTGCTTGCAGAACTTGATGGCAGCCTGCCATTTGCCTCTTTCCTATCTATCTATCCTATATACAAATGTATGTCAGTGATGGCATTTTCATCCTAAAGGACTTCAACAGTCATAATACCAAGAGCATTTGTAATGATGATGATGCAATGTGTTCTGCAGCCCAGAGTTGTTGAAAGAGCCTCTAACCGCAGGCAGTCTTTTTTCACTTTATTCATCTTTAGTACACTAAACTACACCATGCAAGTACTCAAAAGCCTCTTTTCTTTATTTTTCCCAAGATATGACTACTTGGAGTTCACAGATGCCCGAGGGGTACGCACTCGCTATGACCAGAAGGTCGGGACAGAAAAATGGCCGCTCAAGGTCACGTTCCGTGGAAGTCATCGGCTACAGTTCCTGTTTCACTCTGACAGCAGCAACAACGAGTGGGGGTAAGTCTGGGCACAGTGTGAGACAAATCCTCTCAATTTCTCAGTGGATAGGCAGTGGCAAGGTGTTCTGACTTATAGTTAGGGTTGTCAACTTAGAATCTGAAGGTTCTGGGTTCAAATCCTTGGCAAGCCCCAATGTTGTGCTCTTGGGAGTTCAAAAGACACCTTGGGTTAAGGTTGTTGACTAGGAATCTGAAGGTTCTGGGTTCAAATTCCTAAAGCCAGCCCCAATGTTTTCCCCTTGGGAATGTCACTTTACACCTATTTCCTCACTCGACTCAGGTGAAAATGAGCACCTACATGTAGTTTTGGTTAGTGTGCCCTTTGAAATATCAGAGAACAAAAAATGCAATTGATGTGACTTAAATACTACTAGTTCTGTATTCAATAAGTTCTAGCACTAGTGGAGAAGAGGGAGGGGGCAAAAGACAAATAATCTGTTAGCGGTAATGATAAGTTCATGGTACAGAAGTGACCATGAAAACTGTGAAACCATAATACTGTAATTTTGCGAATCAAAGGTCCAACAATTTTTTAATTGCCTTAATTTTTCTCCAATGTAGATACAAGTTCAAGGTGACAGCTCGAGGGTCTCCAGATGTTCCGCTGCCGTGGCTGTTTGACCTTCAGCTGGGTCTGAGTCGGCTGGTCGGGCGGCTGTGTGGGACAGCACTGGGGAAGGCACAGGTCAGGATATGTTGAAAGAGTGTGGTATCATTGAACAGATGTCAGTTAGTGTGTTCTTTGCTTTCTCGTGATAATGCACAATGTCATATAACATTAAATTCTACATATTAGGTACATTCAACTAGAGCTACCCACCTACTAAATATTGAGATAATCCATCGAAGCCTTCTCGAGTTATGCTGTTCACACACATACATTGTACACACACACACACACACAAATACACACACACACACACACACACACACACACACAAATACACACACACAAACACACACACACACACACACACACACACACACAGCCATAATCTTCTTGGCAAAGGTAATAAAATGTAATTAGTATAATTATGTGACATTGTGCATTATTCCAAATATAGTCAATAGACATGTATTTAACAAATTTCTAGAGACAGTCAGACTCTTATGAAGCCTAGATTGATGAGTGTTCATTATTATAACATTAAAACACCTTTTTGTGTCTGCCCACAGATAGTAGACAAGGACACCAAAGATGAAGAGAACCTTCTTCAGCGTAATGAGCTGTGGGGAACCCTGTTCAGGGGAGGGTATCTGGTGGGGAGACTGACCCGGTCACTGTCTGGTCTCCACACCTCGCAACCGGCCACTACAGATGTCCACTCTTTCCTGTTAAACATGGCAGAGGGCAGTGTCGACGCTCCTGCTGCCAGGCAGCTACTGGCAAAGTAAGTCTTAAACATCCTTATCCTTAACTCCAGTAGTTACAATGTATAGAATTACACTAGCTCAAACACCAAAGGCCTTCACTCCTTCCTGCTGAAAATGGCTGAGGGCAGCACCAATGCTTCTACTAGCAGGTACAATGTAGGTACTGGCAAAGTAAGTCTTATCCTTTACACCCCAAGTTATAACATGACCAGGTCTCTGTCTGGTCTCCACACCTCACAGCCCGCCACTACAGATGTCCACTCTTTTCTACTAAACATGGCAGAGGGCAGTGTGGATGCTCCTAATGCCAGGCAGCTACTGGCAAAGTAAGTCTTAAACATCCTTATCCTTAACTCCAGTTGTTACAATGTATAACCTTACACTAGCTCAAACACCAAAGGCCTCCACTCCTTCCTGCTGAAAATGGCTGAGGGCAGCACCAATGCTTCTGCAAGCAGGCAGCTACTGGCAAAGTAAGTCTTAAGCATCCTTTATCATAAAACCCCTATAGTTATAACAGTATCTGGTGGGGAGGCTGACCAGGTCACTGTCTGGTCTCCACACCTCACAACCGGCAACTACAGATGTCCACTCTTTTCTACTGAACATGGCAGAAGGCAGTGTGGATGCTCCTAATGCCAGGCAGCTTCTGGCAAAGTAAGTCTTTATATTCTAACCTTATCCTTTAGTTAACACCCCAAGTTATAACATGACCAGGTCTCTGTCTGGTCTCCACACCTCACAGCCGGCCACTACAGATGTCCACTCTTTTCTACTAAACATGGCAGAAGGCAGTGTGGATGCTCCTAATGCCAGGCAGCTACTGGCAAAGTAAGTCTTTTGTACTGTTAGAAAATGGTATGACTTACTTGACTGAGTCCTCTTCGCCCACTCGGGAGCATAGGGCCTCTGTGAGAAGTGACTTTCTCTTTGAGGTTTTCGTAATCAGTTGAATCCACCTATGGGTGATTGGCCCAAGGGCTTCGTGTGCACCAACTGGCCTCATGGATTGTGGATGTACTCCACGTTATATCATACCCGGGCCGCGATAACGTTCGATAACGGGTTCCGGACCGGGCTGTACCGTACCGGTCCGGAACCCATTATCGAACGCTTCCATGGCTTCCATAAAATGATTCGAACGCGTTTTGCCCTAACCGCGTGTGCCCCTTTCGAAAATTCGAATACAGAATCTGGACGTTGGAATAGATGTTGTTGCATTTTAGGGTTTAGTGGCACCAACTTTTGGCTCATCTTGCATTGAAAGGCACGTTTTCTTGGGTGGGTATGACTTAAATAAAATACAAGACCGTGTATTCCGCATCGCCCTCGGTCCCGGCCCTCATGCATAAGATAAAACTCTTTTGAATGGAATACACATCTGTGTGACTGTACCATTGCTACTGTGAAGATATTAATTTTGATTATGTTCATTCCTAGATGCCAGGAGGCCTGCCCTAACCCCCGGCTGGGCGGGGACCTGTTGGACCGTACCATTGCTGCTGTGAAGGGATGTTTTCTGTATAGCTAATATTGTTTTATGTAAATTACTAGATGCCAGGAGGCCTGCCCTAACCCGCGGCTGGGTGGGGACCTGTTGGACCGTACCATTGCTGCTGTGTAGGGATGTTTCTGTATAGCTAATATTGTTTTATGTAAATTACTAGATGCCAGGAGGCCTGCCCTAACCCGCGGCTGGGTGGGGACCTGTTGGACCGTACCATTGCTGCTGTGTTCGGTGCCCTCTTGTGGCACACACAGGAACTGCGGGAGGAGGTGGAACAGTACATGGGGAAGGAGGGAACACCTGTACCTGAGGGCATCACACAGGTGGGGAACAAAGGCTTTTGCTGTCACACAGTGTTATGTATATGTCAACAAATCTGCTGTGCTATACGATGTATTTGAATCTTTTGTTTGCCAGCAAGGATCAAGGTAATGATTTAAATACTTCGCTGAGATGTTACCAATCATGCACTCCATTTCTTGCTACTTTATATAAACTCTGAGGGCCGTTTTAATTATTGATAATACTCCTTAATCATGCATTTAACTTTTTAGTAATGTCACATACAGTAGAGAGCATTTCTTAAAACAAATTTGTGCTGCTTCAAAAACTTCTGTTTTATTTTGTTGGTCCAGTCGCTATAGACTCTGCTCTAAACCAGAGTGTTGAGAGTCTACAGTAATGATAAGCTTCTCGGTAGCAAAACTTGATCGAGGTACATTATATTACTTTATTTTTTACCCAGGCGTACATGGCAGCGGAGAGCCTGCGCCCGTACCTGCTGGACCAGCGTCAGAAGCTCATCGTGTCCTCCGACGCGGAGAAGACGGACGACAAGAAGGACGAGCCGCCCAGCGCGCTGCCCAAACTGTTCGCCACCCCAGACAACCTGATCCTGGCCTGTAAGGACAAGGCCCTGTTCCTGCTGCAGTTCTCTGGGCTGGCCAGGTATGGCATGTCTATCAGGTATGTGTGGGGAATGGTTTCTTTCTTTCACTCTGATATTTTCTGTTTGCTTTTCTTTTTTTACATTTTCTGCTTTTTTTTTCTCACTTTGCTTGATTTCTACCATTTTACATGTCATATGTGTTGGTTATGGGGTTCAAATCTTCTGCCATTTTACATATTACATAGCAAATTTTTCACCCCATAACAATGCAATGTATTGTTATGGGGTTCAAAATTCTTGTTGTTTGCTATGATTTCTTGCTTACTCGGATTCAGTGAGTTATTGATTAACCTTAAGCATACTAAGGCAGCTTTTTGGCATCAAATTTGTGTTGGTTATCGGGTTAAGCAGCAGGGAGAGGGTTAAGGAATCCTTCTTGATTTTGTTTCTTTGCAATGTTCTGTAAAGCAATGCTGCAAAGAAATGTACATGTGCCACAACCTATTTTCAATGGGATGGGGAAAAGGTGGGTACATTTGGAGTTGATCTGTCTTGAGGGAAAAAAAGACATGAAGACTCAGAAGTTATTTATTTGAAGAAAATCTCAAGATGTTTTTTCATTCCCAGAGTGGAGTCCCAGACTGACCTACGACCCAAGATGCAGAGGTCGATGAGCAGAAAGCTGAGTCGGCAAGTTTCTGTGGACAGGTCCAACCGGAAACAGGTGACTGTCACAAATGTTCAACTTAGTTGTATTATATGATTTACCATGTTATTTGTTGTATGTATGTTTTTCTCAAATGAACCATGGAAGATTAGCCTTTCGGCTAAAGGGTATCGAAATGAAGAGAGTTCTTGGCTTGCAGACTTTGACAAAAATCAGATTGCCAGCCATTAAACCAAATCATGTTCAGTGACTGTTGTAAAACTTTTATCATAGAATGGATATGATATTATTACAATCGTGGTTTCAGCACCAAGGGCATGCCTCATGAACTGGACTGAACCTCTAAGTTTTTACCATGCAACATGGTGACAAAATCACAAAACTTCATCTGAGTTGTTAAACTGTTCTCCATGTCATTTGTCAATAAATTGGTATTACAGGAATTTTCGCTTGAAATCCAAGTCTTCTTCAGGTACTTTGTATCTGACCTACTACCTCAGGACGATTCAGGCAAAATGTCTGTGTGAAAAAACCTGCATCTCTATCATGTGTTTTCTGCAACCCTTTTAGAGGCTGTACACAAACAAGTACATGTAGCTTTTGATTCAAATAGCCTCATGGATACATGTCACCCATATTATTATTATTATTATATCATTTTACATTATTCCAATCTGCTCCTGTCATCCCAACCATATTTGCTGCTATTTCACATGTAATTTTTTCCTCCCTGTCTCTGTCTGCACCCCATTGTTCATCTGCCACCTGTTTCTGCTGTGCTCATCGCCCCCCTCCCCCCTGCTGTGTGTGTTTGCTGCTGTTCTGTCCCCCTGCTGTCAGTTCCATGCTGTTGTTCTCCACCCTCCCAACCCTGCACTGGGAATGGGGACCACCTATGGTCTGGAGCAGGAAGTAAGTTTAGAACAGGAGAAAAAACGTTGAACTTATTATAACTTACCATGTAGACTTCACCCATGCTGTACATGTACTTTATATCGCCATTGGAAAACTTTTTTACTGTATTTCTGTTGGGTGTTGCACATCCCTGTCTCACTTTCTTACTTTTGCTAGGCCACACTAATTTTTTCTTGGTTGGTTCTAGTATTTCAAATGATGATCATTTTAGATTTGAATATCTAGTATACTAACATAATACCAGAGTCTGAGGGGATGAAGTCTGGATCTTGGGTCACGCAAGTTTTTCTCTGCTGGAAAGTCTGCTGGGAACATGAAGTTAAACATGCAATCCACTTTTGCTTCAATGACTGGTTTTTGGTTTTCATAGTGACAGATAATTCTAAGCTCCTATTGGACTGAGTTTTATGATAAATAGTGAGTACCTATAATTTTCTTACATGTAGTTCTGGGAATGAGAAAGGTTCTTTTGAGTTAGACCGTGGCCACAAGTTCTCGGGGAGGAGGCCCAATCAGCCCAAGAATGATAAATTATGTAACAGGCTTCTAACCACCTTTCCCTGACCACATACAGAGTTACCTCGGCCGTGAGGCAGAAGACCAGTACGCCTCCTTCAAACTGGTGCTGGACTTCATGCGAGATGTCAGCATCACCAAGGACAAGGTGGAGAGACTCCTGCAGGAGAGGCTACAGAAGGCTCAGACGGTCGCTGATGCCTACAGGTTTGCTGCTGAGTACCTCAAGACCATGGCTGAACCTAAGGACTTCCAGGTATGTCATGTTTTCTTTTTGGCATTTTTTTTTCATGAGCCTCAAGATCTTGAACTGAAGTCCATCTGTGACGGTACAAGCATTTAAAACTCAAGAGACAAAAGAAAATTGCTTGCGGTCAGATCTCTCATCTTCTTATCGTCTTTTGTGTGCGGTATATACAGTTTTGAAGTTCACAAAGCCTTTAGACCATACTACATGTTGTATAAGGTAAAATAACAATCAATTTTCTTTCCCCAGGTCCCAGTGTTGACCCTTCTCATTTTCCTTTGTGTGTGGTTACATGAGTTTCGTATAAACCTTCACAAAGCCTATAAACCTGGCTATAACTTGAGTATAAGATACACATGTACATGTAAGATAACAATGTAACATGGTTACCCCCCCCCCCAGGTGCCAGTAGTACTGTTCCTACAGGAGCTGCTATGCTCCCAGCAGCAGTTCCCAGCTCACTATGCCAGCGGTATGGAGGGATGTGGACTGGACCTCGAAGCTCAGGTCAGAACTTCTGTTTTTGCGTAAGGTATCAATCATCGATTTCCAGTATTGAAATACATTCAAAGTCATGCACAATATAGTCTAGCCCCATGTTCCATGCCAATACTGTTATAAAAAGTAAAAAGTCCAATTTAATTCAAGGGACATATAAGATAAGATATCTATTGAAGTGTACAGAATGTTCACCTAGGTCACAAGGTTGGGGTTATTGACTCGGAATCCAAAAGTTCTGGGTTCAGATCCTTAGCAGATCCCAATGTTGTGCCCTTGAAGATAACAATGACAGAAATTATGATAAATTTAAAAGTTTAACTAAAGTTTACCCCCACAGGTTCGCACATCATACTACACCCTGGTCCGTCGTCTGGTCCACGTTGTCAACACCTTCCCACAAGGCAACGGGGCGCAGCACCTGAATGCGACCTTTGACCTGCTCCAGGCCAGCCTGGTGCACTTCCTTGACATTGACTGGCAGCCGTACGACCTTGGGTTTGTGCGGGAGATCGGGTTACCGGCCATGCTGCTGCAGATGGCGAAGAGCAGCATCAGCCTGCATGACGTCAGCACCAGGCAGGAGGACGAGGAGAAGGAGGATAAGCAGTACACAGACTGCATGAAATGGTGAGTTTCATGGCAAAGTTTCATGACAGGGGTTGCATGAAATGGTGATTCATGACAAGGTTTCATGGCAAGGGCTGCATGAAATGGTGAGTTCATGGCATGATCAACAACACATCAGATCAGGAGGAGAAGCAAGCGATGCACATGTTCAGATTTTTGTTATGATTGTGATAATTATAATTATTAATTAAAATTTCTACCTCTCCAGGTTCAATGACTGTAAGAACAACCACACTCCGTGGTTCACCATGATAAATGACGCAGCCGACCAGGAGGAGAAGCGAGCCATGCACATGTTCGTTGCGCGGTTCTGCGACCTGCTGGACGTGGAGATCCGCTGCGACGGCTGCGAGAAAGTGTTGCCGGGGCAACGGTACCGCTGTCTGCAGTGTTCCGATATGGACCTCTGCAACACATGCTTCCTGGGTGAGTGTTGGGTAGATTACTGTTCATGATAGACTATTTTAAGAAGGCCTTAAACAAGGCCTCAGAAAATCAGGTGATGCGCACAACTGGCAGTGTTAAGATAGAGTGCATCTTGTACATTACATTGTGCATTCACTGTTACCACAATAATGCATAAAAGAAATAATGTCAATAGTTTCTGAGCAGTTTTTAGTATGATCCATATTTCTCAAAGTCTGAGTGGTGCAGGTAAAAGTTCTCTGGTGCTGGTAATTTTCTGCATGAAACCTTACATGTTCAAGAGAGGACCTCTACATACAGTCTGTATAGATGGACCACCAGGCCATTGTGGCCACTTAGATAATTTTTCCATTGACACAAGCATTAAGAATCCTGTCTACAGTGACCTCCTGTCCACATAGACCAGATTTTATCAGTACCCTGCGAGTGGTCTTCTAAGGGCAGTTTTTACTGTTAACAATGTCCCTCTGCAGATGGAGCAAAGCCTGAGGGCCATGAGGACGACCATGACCTTGTTCATCTGCAGTTCAAGTGTGACCAGTGCCAGGCCTTCATCGTGGGCACACGCATCCACTGTAACACCTGCGAGGACTTTGACCTGTGCCTGGGCTGCAGCAAGGCCAGGGACTACCCGGAATGGTGAGTCTAAAATGTTGTTGTAACAGTTTTCTTTTTGTAACATGCTATTGCGAACAATAGACATAGAGCCTGAATTACTAAAAGCTCCAATTAAAAATTGTATTCCAGTTTGGTGGCTAATCAGTAGTTCACTTCTCTTTTTTGGTACTACCATGTATGTGGTTATATATGGCTGATCAAGAGGTGGTGTTGAGTAGGAATTATGAACTTTGTTCATTCATGAATTTTGAATGATTCAGAAGTTGTTTCAACTACAGTACAAATGCACCAAGATTTTGTCCATGTCAGAATTAGTAGTGCCAGCTCTATGAAAATGTTCAGGATACTGCAAAAGGTCATTTTCTGACACAAAACTTTTGATATTTGTATTTGGACGGACATCATACAGTACTGTATTAACTGTAGTTTACACACTCATAGTAATTACATTTCTTACTTTTAACTTTAAGTTAGTGAATGAAGATTCCTAGTCCATGCTTACTGTATCTTACCTGTAGCCACAAGGAGAACCACGATGTCACGACCTACCAGCTGAAGACCATCAGCAGCAACAACCCGTCCACCGGCCAGCACATCAAGACCTACATCCACAACCATGGCTGGCTGCTCTTCTCTTCACTCGCTCTCTCCCTCTCCAAGGACCTCCATAACAACAACCTGGCAGGACAGTATCTCACTAACGCACAGGAGCTGCTCAAGGGATGTGTGGAGCTGATCACACAGTGTCTTAAGCATATTGTACCAGAGGGGAAGTCACTACCAACCAGGTTTGATTGTCTGTTTCTTTGTTTGTTCTAAATTGCCATTAGTAATAGTAGTATCTAGTCTTTGATTTTACTGCTTTTGGGGGTTCCTGACACAAGGGTGGGCAGGAGTCGGCTAATCTTCACAATTCCAAGCAACTCTGTATTTAGGTAAAGGATACTCACAGACAATGCAAACTTGTGATGTTCGACCATTTTTTTCTGGACCAGTTCTCAATACATACTGTAAGTGTTAGCTGGTTCTACCAGTTCATTCTAGTGATGCTGAAGAAGACAGATTGAAGTGTACATCACACTAAATACGTACCACATGCTTTTTATCATTTATACCACCATGTATCTAAACGAGATCTGCTGTATTTTGTGCATTTTATGGGAAAAATCATTAAAATGATTTTTCCCATTCGCAGGTCCCAGTCTATGGCTGCGTTGTCACCAAGCAGTGGCCCAGCAAGCCCGGGTTTCCACCCCGTACTCAAGAGCATCTCATTCCCGGGGTTCCCAACGGTCGGCAAAGACGGTACAGAGGAGGTTGGATCGGAAAAAGACAAGTCCAAAACCTCCCAAGATGAAGCAAAAAGGAAAGAAGATTCTAAGAGTGAAGAGAAAGGAGCAACTGCTGTGGCTACAAAAAAAGAAGATGGTAAGAAAGAAGATTGAATATTAAGCTTCGATGTAATTGTTGATATTTAGGAATAATATTTTATGATATTTTATATTTGAATGTAAAACTACCATAATGATTCCGTAAATTTTCATCAGGTTGGTAAGACACTGAGTGAAGAGACTCTTTTTACACAACCAAATTATGATCTTTAGAAAGTACGACATGTAAGTATTGTTACAGTAATGGAATCCACAATTAAGCAAAATGGCGAGTGATTTTAACCTGAATAAACTATTCATTTATTCGTTCAAGATGTGGGAGTAGCTGCAGCAAAGGATGAAGAGAAAGAAAAGGTGAAAACAACATCCTCATCTGAAGAGAAAGAAAAAGACCCTCCATCTACTGGTGCCACAGAAAAGAAAGATGAAGAAAAGGAAGAAGCTTCATCAGAAGACAAGAAAGAAAAGACAGAAGGAGCTGAGAAGACGGAAGAAAAGTCACCCAAGGTCAAGCAGAGTAAGGACGGTTGGTCGCTGGACAAGGCGTTTGCAGAGTGCTCGCAGGAGAGGATTCTGGGATTGCTGGCGGCCATGTTGCCTGAACCTGGAAAGGTCGGATTCTATTCTGTTTCTGCAATGTCATAGGTCAATCTTCCCCTTACAAGATTTTTTGTGTGTGATAGCATGTATACATACATTTGTACTATATATATATATAGTCATTAGAAATGTTTGACATGAAACATTTGCTAGTGATTCTGGAGTCCTGGTGTCTTTTTTAATGCAAAATGATGACAGTGTGAATTTTCTGCTTGCTCTAATGCCCTTTCTTAGCTCTTGTAACAAAGTTTTTCGATTCTAGCGGTATCATCTTACTGTAACAGTTAAGCCTGCGAAAGCAGCCACCTCTTCAAGCTAGCTGGCCATGACAACCCCGACCAATACGGTCAACCGATGATGATGATGATGATGATGAACAACCACCTTTTTCCAGCCCCTACATTTTAAAGAATTAAATGAACTGCACAAGAAGACCACTTTACCATGATAGTTATCTGGGTGACCTTCTTGGATAGATTTATAGATTTGACTGTATGTTCATTTTTCTGTATTTCTCAGGGTCCTGACTGTGCCATGGATGTGTTTAATGTGTCCAAGCTGCTGCCATTGTTGTTTGACAAGCTAGCCACCTGCATGGCTATAACAGCCACCTTTTCCCTGGCCCCAACATGTTTTTCCATAGGCTCCAGCATTAAGTTACCTGCCCAAAAAGTGACCTGCCCTCAGTCCCCTGGGTGACTATCTTGGATAGGTTTGACTGTACTTTCATTTTTCTGCCCATTCCAGGGTCCTGACTGTGCCATGGATGTGTTTAATGTGTCCAAGCTGCTGCCACTGTTGTTTGATATCGTGAAGGGAGGTGCTGGCTACAACATCAACACTCAACACCTGGCACTGGGGCTGCTACAGAAGTTCCTACGCAGGATCAACCCTAATGTACGTTGACAGGTCATTCTTTCCTGTTTCTGCTAATTGTATATTAATAGAATGTATATATTGCAAGTTCATGCCGGAGGGCTCATTGCAAACAGACATTGACAACTATATATATATGTATGTATGTATGTATGTATATATACACTCATTGCACAGAATTTGTTGAGAAATGGCATAAAACCATATTAATTTTTATTCTATTCACATTTATTTATTGAGGATTGAATAAAGAGCAAGATTCTTATTAGGAGCTCATTTCTCAACCATGAATATAAAACAATTACATGTCATCCTCTCTATATATATACTAATGTAGTATCTTGAATATTTACTGAATATGACCTGTGTATTTATTATTAGTACTTAATCTTCAAAACATCTGGATAGCCCATATAAGAATTTGCTGGTTTCCAAAGAGCCCCAGAAGAATCATACTATTAGCATTAGATTCTCATTAAGTATGTACATTTAATTTTGTTTTGTTTTTCTTTTTTCCACAGGCCTCGGACACAGCAATTGTGGTGTGTTTTGCCTGGCCGTCCATCACACCAGAGTTCCTGACGGGACAGACCACAGTCGATTTCCTCTTCTCCCTGGGAGCCTCATGTCTGGAGTGGCGAGGGCTGGACTGGGTCGCACCGCTGGCTACAGCACTGCAGGTCTGTGTGTGTGTGTGTGCGCATGCATGCGTGTGTGTGTGTGTTGTGTGTGTGTGTGTGTTGTGTGTGTGTGTACAATGTGTGTGTGTGTGTGTACAATGTGTGTGTGTGTGTGTGTACAATGTGTGTGTGTGCGCATGCATGCGTGTGTGTGTGTTTTGTGTGTGTGTGTGTGTGTGTGAGAGAGAGAGTGTGTGTGCACGTGAGTGGGGGGTGTATGTGTGTGTGTGTGTGTCTGTGTGTTTGAGTGTGTGTGTGTGAGGTGGCGAGGGCTTGACCACTTGCTACAGCACTGCAGGTCTGTAGTCTGTAGTTTTTACCTCTTAGATTTCATGTTCTTGTAACACAGCTTCAGAAGTAGTGAAATATGGAGACTGCTCCTCTGTAGTTCCTTCCATCAGTCACTATAAGCTGTCCCTGTGGTGCCATGGCAACAGCACATGGCCGCGTCATGTCTGTAGCGATGTGTTTGAGAAATCTGCCTGTCTTGTCAAACATCTCCACACGACTGTTTCCACTGTCTGCCACGATGATGTTCCCTGCCCTGTCTGTACAGATGCCACGGGGACCCATCAGCTGACCTTCACCACTTCCCTCACCTCCAAACTTGAAAAGAAACTTTCCATCCTCGTTGTACACATAGACATAGTGATTGTCCCAGTCCGACACAAGTATGTTCCCTTCCCCATCCACAGTGATTCCCCACTCTGGGCCGTTCTTCCTCTGCTGCTTACACACAGTCCTCACATGTGTTCCATCTGGCCTGAACACCAAAATTTCACCATGCTGGTTAGGGCAGTATCCTGTGGTTTGTGTGATGAGGATGTGGTTTCTCCTAGTGTCCACAGCAACTCCTCTCTCCCACTTTGACTTCTGTAGGTTAAAGTTCCTCAGCACGCTACCCTGTTTGTCGTACTGCACAGCAAAGTTAGAAGTGGAACACCCCGACGGCTTACACCTCCCCACCACCCACAGGTTACCCTCCCCATCCATGGCCATATCTGTTGGGACCATCTCCTGTCTACCTGACACGAATCTTCTGACAGTTTCAACAAACGTTCCCTGCAGGGTGAAGACATGGATTCTATTGTAATTGTAATAACTATTGCCCACTACAAAGATTTCCCCTTCATCTGACACTGTAACAGCCTTTGGATCAGTGAAGCATCCATCGTCTGATGCCAGTTTATCAAATGTCACCCTCTGAGGCTGATGCTCCCCTTGCCTTTGGTTACCATGGCGATGATCTGTGCCCCTTGCTGCAGGTGTTGCTGGGATTGGTGCAGGTGGGACAGACTGGTCCTCTTGCTCTTGGTTACCATGGTGATAACCTGTGCCCCTTGCTGCAGGTGTTGCTGGGATTGGTGCAGGTGGGACAGACTGGTCCTCTTGCTCTTGGTTACCATGGTGATGACCTGTGCCCCTTGCTGCAGGTGCTGCTGGGATTGGTGCAGGTGGGACAGAATGGGCCGTCACATGTCCCAATACTGGCACGGGGGTGTCTGTAGGCAGAAAGACAGCAGGCTGGTTTTGTACAGGAGTTGGTGCTGCTTTTCCTCTGTACTTTGCCACCACCTCTGTCAGAGTGGATTGCTGACTGAGAAACTTTACCCTTCCCTGCTGCAGTTCTTGTTCTGCTTGATCACAGGCAGCAGACAGTTCGTTGACATCTGCCAACACCCTGTCTCTTTCAGTTTTTATTGCCTTCGACTGAAGGCTATGCCTTCGGAGAAGGTTATGAAATCGGGTTTGCACTGTTTGGCAGATTAGGCACGATAACTCTTGAAGGCAAGGTCCGAGGTTCACGATTTTTGGCAGGCAGGTTGATTTAGGGGTGGCCATTGTCAAGGCTAAAAATGGGCTTCGTGGGGGGTTCCTAAGTCACTGTAGTTGACCTTGGTTTTTGGTGTTTTTTCCTTGTCATCAAGATATCTCGAGAATCCTTAAATGGATGTTCATTATTTTTAGTGGGCAAGTTACCGTTGAAAATGCCGAGGTCAAGTTCAAAGATGGGCCCCGTGGGGGTTTCTATGTCACTGCAGTTGACCTTTGTTTTTTGTGTTTTTTCTTGTCATCAAGATAACTCGAGAATCTTTAAATGGATGTTCATGTTTTTTAGTTGGCAAGTTACCATTGACAATACCAAGGTCAAGTTCGGATATGGGCTTCGTGGGGGGTCCCCACGTCATTGAATTAGAAAGTACTGCAGCGAAACTTCTGGTTTTTAAATCTCGTGATATGGACGTGCTAGGGTCATGATTTTTAAATGGTAGGTAGCTCTCGTGCTCAGAAAGAAGTGCCGTAAGTTTGGGCCTCGTAGCAGCTTGTTTGGGAAATGCAGAGGCATTTGTTTGAAAATGTTTGAAGTAGGATAGCTCAAGAAACGGTTGACGAATTGTTGTTATTTTTGATATATCGGTAGCTTAAGTGATGCTTGACCTAATTAGATGACGATTATGCAAATCACGATCTAATTTTCATAATTAATGACAAAAGTCTATAAATCTGCTACGTTCCATGATAGAACAATTAAAATGGTAGGCATATTTAATCAAGAGGAAGAGGAACATTGACAGATATTAATTATGTAAATTGTGACCCAATTTGATTAATTAATAAGAGAAATCTATATGTCTTTCATACTGCACTAGACCTTTTTGTTTCCACCCTCTGTGGATTACATTGATTTATGCCCACAAGGATAGCTGGAAAAAACTTTCCTGTTTGTTGAAACAACAGAATCCTTGCGAAATTGGCGAAAGTGGCGCTTAATGCTGCATTAATACTGAAAGTTTTAATACTGGGTTAATGCTGGGTTAACGACTCGGCCAGCCTTCAAACACACATAGATACATCATTCATAATGTACAATGTAGAAAAGGCAATCTTTCTTTTTATTAATGTTTGTTACATGTACTGGAGCAACTGCATAACTCTTGTAAAATTTGTGAACCCTGACACAAGACTGCACAAATGTATGTGCTAATGTGTAGGGAATACAGGAAACCTATTCATATCTAGGTTAAACAACAAGTTACAGACAGGAAGCTGTCAACATTAGGTTTTAGTTGTAAAAAACGTTTTCTTTGTAAATTGTTTGTTG